TATGCAATCCAACCCTCCACTGTCCCCGGGGTGTGAGTGCATGTCCGGGATGAGGGGGCCTTTAAAAAGCTTTCCCCTTCACTGCTCCACCAACAGGCTTGGCTTGTGTGGAGAGGCCATTCAACTGCACTGCTGGGCTCTGCCTCTCTCTCTCTGTGTGTGTGTGTGTGTGTGTGTGTGTGTGTGTGTGTGTGTGTGTGTGTGTGTGTGTGTGTGTGTGTGTGTGTGTGTTCCTGTTGCTTGGCAAGACCACCACCAGTATTCCAGCCTAAACTACTTCTCTCAAGCCCTTTTCATCAGCTGAATTTCTTCCCCTCCCCTCTTACTGTATCCGGTCCCCCTCCCCTTTGCCGAAATAAAGTTGTATCTGTGCTGAATTGTAAATCATCAGCTTTCTTCAGTGCTTCTTGTGGCTTAGTATACTGACTATACAAATAATGCTGAACAAGCAATAGATATACAATAGCTTCTCTTAACAGGTGAGTTTGGTCATCATAGTAACCACAAAATACAAAATAGTTTTCTGAAATGAGGTATGTATATGCTGTTTGCTGTACATTTGTCGTTTCACCATCTAGAAAAAAGACACAACAAAACTGACTTTGAGTTTATTTTGTGGATAGAGCAGTGGCCTGTAGCCTTGTGTTTAAGTCCCTACAATATATCTTTGCCCTTTTCTCTCTTGTCAGCAACATAGCCTAACCATGTCCTGTTGAGGTTCAGCGGCAGTGTTACTACATCAGCTAGCCTTTGCTACACCAGCACTGCCCGTAAAGTATCATCGGTTGTAAATCTCCTGTGCTGTGTCATGTTAAATCGTCTAGCGGTGTGCCTGCCTCCGGCTATAAACACAGATTGCCATTTTAGCGGCAAGCCGCTACATGCAGAGATTTCTTTTTGTGTCCCAGTTTCAGCCGAGGGTCCAAAGTGGTTTGGTCAGTTAATGTGAAGGCCAAGGCATTCTGAGCCAGGAGCTTTCATTACATCTCTGGTTTTAGTCACTTGCTTGTTTTTTAAGGCTTGTACCTGTTTTAAGTGTAGCTGGACTGATCTTCTTCCTCCCTACTTTCTTGGATAGTGTAGCAGACACTTGCCACTAAACTCCATTAGACATCTGGTTTAATATTGCTCCATTCTTCTCCTCTGGATGTTTCCAAGTTCATTGAGGTTTTTTTGGTCACTCCAATTTTCCACTGGCAGCTAGCGAGGCTATCCCAGGGTGGTTCCTCCTGGAGGGGTTTCAGGACTCTGGGGCCAGGCTCTGCTGGGCTTTCAGCGGCTGTGATGGGTGCTTTTTCTCCTCCGCTTTTCATCAACCACACGGCTGTTAAGCAAAGCAGGGCCTTTTTCCTGAGGGCACGGGTGTAAAACGATGCTGCACGCACAACATCCGACACAAGACAACAGAGCATTGTTTCCTTGTTGTGGTCATATTTATGAATTTGTTTTGTTCAGTGAACAACCTTTGAGCCCTGAAATAGTTTGACTAGAGTTCAAGCATAACTCTGCATTTGTATGGAGGGAAAGTTTTGATTGTAGTTTATATGTTTTTAATATTAAGATTCGTCATACATAATGTGATTGAATAGGCAAGAGACAGATTGAATGCTCCATTCACAAGGATATATATACCCAGCAGACAACATATTTAAAACATCTGATTTCCGATGTTCTTTGGTTCATTGCACAATGAAAAAAGAGGGTCTTGATCGCACAGTTCCATGGCTTGTGTAATTGGCTTTCATTATGGCCATGCAGAGCCTCGGCATTGCCAGACCCACCAGGGGGTGACAACCAGTACAAGCCCCGTCATCATCATTTTCCCCATGAGCAGCACAACTCAATGGGCCCAGAAATGGGCGAGCATCTACGGCTCAGGGAACCACCCTTTCTCTGGAAACTGCCTTTATCCTGTTTTAAACATTACAGTGACGCTCTGTTTGTGCAAATGTGTTTTTAACAGTGTATGTGTGTGAGGGTGGAGGGCGGTGTGAGCGTGTTGTGTATTTTTATTATGTGGCCGGTCACTGAGGATTTCCGTGCATATGAATGCGTGTGAATGCATTTACATTATGGTTGCGCGCCTCCATCTGTGCATGTGTGTGAGGTGGGGGCAGCAGATTGTTACCACAAGCTGGTGGGGCACAGCTCTGCTGCTAACCAAAGGAGCAAGTGGTTGTGAGTCAGTCCCCACCAGGCAAACCTGTGGCCGTGGTATTAGCTCTGCAGCACCAGTGCCAAGATAGGAAATTAACAGTGGCTTTGGGTGAAAACGTCTGTGAGAGTTCACAAAATGCCCCTGAGACTAGAATAAGAGGTGCAAAAAAAAAATCCCTCGGAAGAAAGAAGAGGAAATGAAATATAAAAGCTGCACTTAGGCACGGAATATGTAGTGCAAAAAGAGCAATAAAATTAGGCAATAGGCAAATATAAACCAGAACAGATAAGTACATTTTACTATTCTGCTTAATGCGAAGCAGTCATACCAAGGCAAGACTCCAGCTAATGCTAGCAGCCTTGGCTCTATCTGACCGCACTGTCTGGGCCCATTAACTTAGTTAAAATAAGCAAAGATTTTACGCCTAGTAACTTTATAAAATTGTTAAAAGTTTATTTGGTCAGGGAAAATTACACAGGCCATACTGAGGCATTTTTGTGTTTTATTTCCTTATAATTTCCACTTTATTGATGTACTTTGCTGCTGCAGATGTAAACATTTCCTCCATTTGCTCATTTTGGGATATTATTTTGGTTTTTGGTCGACACGAATGTGGGTGCGCCTGCAGTGTCTGACGGTTTATTTATTGTAGGTACTGAATGTTTTGCAGCTCCCTTATGCACGCAGAAAGTTTTGTATATTTGTTTAAACTCCATTAATTTAAAAATGTAAATATGTCTCACAGGACATGTTTTAGCATGTTACAGCCAAATAGTTCAATACAGTGGATTATGATTTAACTTGATTATACTCAGGCATAACTCATCATAATTCTTCACATTCTATGACAGTTTGTCCTACTAGATGCTACTAGAATTACAAACAACTTATCAAATAAGGTTTTAAATAGCCTTTGCTTTTCACACCCAACTCGTCTGCATCTTGCGTGCAGTGACATCAGGTTATAATGTCCAGAACACTGGAGTTACTGTTTGGATCTGACGTAATAAAGTGGAGTTTGTTTGCCAAACTGTTCTGACAAGCTTCTTGGCTGTTTCTGTGAAAGCCATTGAGGAAATTATAAATTATCAAGGAGCTTTTGGTTGTCTGAAGTGCAGAAAAATGCATTTTACCTAGATAGATCCAAATAATTGCAACAGAGTACATTACACAACATACATCAAAAGACATTCCTCTCTGCTCTGCGGTTAACCTTGTTTCTGCTGCTCGGCCGCTTCCAGATTACTGCCAGTTGAAGGAAGACTGAGGTTGTAATAGCCCACAGTCTGTTTTAGACCAGGGGAGGCAGGCCTCTGCAGCCATCAGGAGAGTATAGAGAACTCTGAGATATTTAGAAAGAGAAACGAGTGGTATGGCATGGGTACTGTCATCAACCTTGATGGTACCTAAATGTACTAAAAATACTTTTTTATCTTAAATCCATCATTTATTCCAAAGGACTTTTATTTGATTACATGATTCTGTGAGAAAAACGTGAAAAGCGTAAAAAATAAAGTTGATATATCAACAACGATTTTGGAAATCTAAGTCATCTTTTAGGTCATTTATAAAGGAAAATGTGGAGCATTTGCTGGTTCAACCCTCCTAAAAATATGAGAATTTGGAGCATTATATAATTCTTTTTTGGAGACATCACATTGAGTTCTGGTGTTTTCACTAAACAAAACAAATAATCAATTATCCTCGCTTCCAAAGGACTTAATCATTCAAATGTATATCTAACATGTGTTATTAATAGTAGAAGCAGACTGTATAAGAGCTGCGTCATACTTTTGCCTGATGTTATGCATGTTGCATTGTAACCGGTTGCATAAGCCAAAGCAGATTCAATTTTTCTAACTCATATTTTACTTGATCATCACACATTTAAAAAAAAAAAAATTTGTTTAATGAGATTTCCACACAGTAATGTTTAGGAATAACACACAGCACAGGTCAAATGTAATCTCCTGTTTGAGTTTAGCTCTTAATCTTATCGTGTGCAGTCTTGGTTGTGGCTCTTGCCCCTCAGATAGTCTCCCTTCTCATCAGTGAGCATGAGGCAGTCAGACCTGCAGTCAGACCTGCAGTCAGACCTGCAGTCAGACCTGCAGTCAGACCTGCAGTCAGACCTGCAGTCAGACCTGCAGTCAGACCTGCAGTCAGACCTGCAGTCAGACCTGCAGTCAGACCTGCAGTCAGACCTGCAGTCAGACCTGCAGCGCCCAGCTGTTCGCAGTGTGGGCAGCAGTACAAGGTGCTCCTGTGGAGGAATTCAGCACTTTGGACAGCACCTAGACCAGCTCTCCCCACGTTGGAATTCCAACACTGCACTCTTGCAGGCTGGGCCCAAGGACTTTGCGGTCGGAAATTTGACCACATTTCCACCAAGGTGCAGGAGGAAGGCTGTTTGGGAGAGGGAAGGAGACGTTGGTAGCTTATCTAGAGGATGGAGCAGACTTGAAGTTTCTGTGCGATTTATCAAGGTCAACATTTTCTGCTGCAACTCATAATGTGACTGGAGTGCTGCGTTGCTGTACTGAAGTTGAGCATGGTCAACATTAAAAATGACTTATATGTTTACAATATTATTAAAACATGCTAAAATTCTCACTTAAACATCTTTGGAAGCTTTTTTAATGTGATGTACAAAATATGTCTGGGTTTAAGGTTCACAGAACCACGTAGGATGGATAGCTGTGATATGTTTACATGTGTGTTAGGAATTAGCAAAAGGGCTGATTCAAAAGCTTAATTGTGGCATTTTTCATGATCTGCTTATTGCTTCTATCTTATTTAATTCCAGTATTCCTTAAATGAAGTCCTTTTCGTCCTCTTTCAGGCAGTCGGGAAGCAGCGTTCACCTACGCCATCACAGCGGCGGGGGTGGCCCACGCCATCACAGCAGCCTGTAGCCAGGGTAACCTGAGCCAGTGCGGCTGCGACCGGGAGAAGCAGGGCTACAACAACCAGGAGGAAGGCTGGAAGTGGGGCGGCTGCTCGGCCGACATCAAGTACGGGATCGAGTTCTCTCGCCGCTTCGTGGATGCCCGCGAGATTAAAAAGACGCCGCGCCGCCTGATGAACTTGCATAACAATGAAGCAGGGAGAAAGGTAAAGAGGTTTTTGGTAATCCCAGATGTTATTCAAACGTAAGCAACAGCCAAGCCCTTTTAATACAAACATGTGGATATTTGGAAATTGAGCAACTTATTAAATCTTTTAAGAATAATGAACCATTTTAAAGGGTATTTCTAATGTATTATTTCATTTGGATCAAATATGAAGGTAACTGCTGAAATCCAGGATTGTGGTTAGATCAGATAGTAGTCAGAAAGGGCAAACAAATTAAAGTTATTTCGCTTTCAGTTAAAACCTTCCATCAAAGTGTACTTTCAGACTTTCATGTACTTTTTCAGATTTCCCGTGTATCCCTTTTATAAGCATTTAAGGCGAGCTCCATCTTGTTTTCATTAGAAAATCTAGATAATCTTGTTTGTTACAGGTTGGCCTTGGAAGATGGTTTAACTTTCTCCACTTAGTTTGTTGCTGGACTCCCAGATCTCATCAATTACTTTGGCTAGTGTAATCTTATATTGAGTGATAGAAATGATGGCTAGAAAAAACGTGCATGAGTTCAAGCATTGATGCATACATGCCTGTACTGTATGTTCCTTTGCAGAAGAGCAAACATTCCCAGATAAAGAGCTAAAAGTCACACAGTCATGTGACAAAGGACTGGGATTGAATAATCTGCTGTCTGGTGGATCACCCAGTTCAGCAGCTTGCTTTGCTTCAGCCAATTATTGACATATCTTTCCTTCTAAGAGGGCGTCTTTTATTTCTGGGCGAGTGCATTGGCAAACCTCTTCATGGACTTGTTTGTTTTCTATTAGTCATCCCAGAACATTCATGAAGGGAGGAAAAAAGAGAAAGTGTGAGAGGTAAATAAAAGAGAAAAGATGATGTTATGTTGACAAATGGATCTAATTAATAACTTGGGCTTTATCGTGTCCACTGGGGAAATGGGGCCTGGGCAACTGTTGCCAGATGGAAAGCTGCCATCCCCTTTTTCCTTTCATGGAATTATGAAGTGTAAAGTCAGGAACAGGATATTATTGCAGTTCTCTGCACAGTACCAAAACATGTCACTGCCATTTGACTGCGTCTATTCAGGGTGTGTAAGCAGGCCGACAATGCCGGTGTTAACACAGCAGACTGATAGGGTCTGTGCTACATGCCAGGGTGCTGGCATGCTGGACACTCAGGGTTGGAGTTGGCACTGTTGCTACTCTGACTCTGGGGCTCGGAAACTCAGAGTCTAAGAGGATGTGTAAAAGTCAGATTTCCTCTTTGCTGAGACAGTATAAAGCCGAAATCTCTCTTAGACTGGAAGAGGTTATTAGGGATGCAGAGGTCTGAGCTCATAGTCCATAAATGTGATTCGCATATGCATTTAGCATCTCCTCATTATTGCTTTCTGTTAACAGAAGTGCATAAGTTAGTGTTTTTCTCGCATTCTTGGCAGATACCAAACAGCTTCTGGTGGATTACCACCGGGCTTTGGACTGGAGTTCAGACTGGGATTTGCATGTAGTCTAGACCTTGACAGATCGGCATCAGATTTGGCCAACAGACACATACTGTATATACAGCACTTCCCATTCTGCTGTGATATCTTTACTGTGAAGAATAGTTTTGGTGTAGTTGTATTGATTGTGATTGCTTTCCATGTCCACTGCATGACATTTCTGTTCATTTACGTATCATGTGACAGCAAGTGGCATCGATATTTCTATAGAGAAAGAGTCAAAAAGAAAAACAAGCTGATAAAAATGATCCTGATGAGGAAGGAATTGGTTCAGCCAATGTGATCCAGCTGAGATTGTGTTTTGTAATCACTGATAAGAAGCATTGTGGAAACAGAAACCATTATTGCAAACCAATTCTGTGACTAACCGGAATGTAAGAGAACACCCAGTGAATCACCAGATCTCTTTCATCTTACACCGGCGACATGTGTTTGACGAGTGATCTTTAGATGGGAATCTGGTCATATTGGACTAATTAGTGACCGATCAGAGGCTTTGATGGACACAGTTTAAGTAAATGTTTCCATGCATCTGTCAGACTCCTTATGTTAGGCATTCCTTGTGGTTTTTGCGCTGTACATTTTTGGAAATCCTCATTCTGAATCAACATGCAAGGCGTGATTGACAGCTGACCCCGGCTTTTATGTACTGCAGTCGGGGGAGCTCATGTTTTTTCAATCAAATGGCCTAAAATCGGGAACACATGAGTCCGCAGACAAGACAGACATAGATATTGAACAACTCATGTGTACATTTCGTAAGTGTCTGATATAAATGATGAGTTGTGCTTCTGGCGAGGCGACTTGCCAGGAAAAAGCTGCACTGGAAAAATGCCCTGCCAACCAAACTTACATCTTATACAACAAAGACAAACACTTCGTTCAAGCAAGTGGGGGGATTCCTGATTTGGGTAAAAGAGTCATGTCAGGACTACTAGAGACATGTTAATATGACCCGTTCCAACTCCACTACCTCTTTCCTCATTCCCTTTGCCTTTAAGCAGAGTTCTGCAGAAAATGAAGAGGGTACATTTTTGATTTGGAGTAGGTCTTTGACTTTCCCATCGGGCAAAGGATTGACACTTAAACACTGACGACAGCGCACAATATTTCCCATATGCCGCAGGATTAGGCCTCGAAGAGAGGACATTCTGCCCTGTGCACCATATGTTGGAAATAACCTCAAAGAGAAATTAAGTCCAAGTCTGAGTAAGGGAATAACCTAAAAAAGTTGACATTATTGCATTTAAAATGACTCTTTGACTAAAAGCATCTGAATCTGTAACTGTGATCCACTTTCATGCATTGCTTTCTTCTATTCATCACATTGTTGAAGCGGTCAAATAAACCCCAAGTTTCTCGTCCAGCTGTAAACAATTGATTGATTTGTTTTGTGCAACAATTATTGACTAAATCATCTAGATTCAAATTATCCAAGATGATTGATAGTTTTACAAGAGCCATGTTTATTTTTCTCTGTCTTTGATGTGGCTTATGGAAGGTAGACAAAATTACAGGATGGAATATTACGAGTGTGTGCAATTTTCCCTCCCTCGGGGCAAGAAACTGCAAGTCATCCATGGCAGAGGATTCAGATACGCTTGGATTTGCCTACTTCTTAGAGATATGTCTCGCTCTGACCTCAAGCCAAATTTTGATTTGATTTAAGTACCTTTGGCATAAATGAATTAACAGTATGTGCTGCCAGCACAATCACCACTTAGTAAAATAATGGTTGCAGATAAGCAATGCCCCATTGGCACACAGTTGTAACACACAAAAACCTGATAAACATCTAATGGAAGTTTTTTATTGATTTTAATAAACGTAACTCACAGAAGACTTCATATGTGTACCACAATTATTTAGCTATCCATTAACAACTTTTTGTATTTGTGTTTGTAAAGTCATATCCAAGAAAATACGTAGTAGTTTACAAATATGCATTACTTACCATGTTAAGATGTAATTTATTCTACATACACATGTAATAGTTAACATGTAAAGTGATATTTACACATTTTCCTGTCAACCTGTGTGTGTGGGCCACATTCAATTTAATTTGTAACACCTTAGAACCAATCAACAAATCCAAGTAACTGGCTACACCAGTATCTAGCGATGTTTGTGGAGAGAGAATAAACGGATGCGATTGACTTACATCGATGTGTCTATAATCTAGCTATGTTTCTAATGGCACCGGGAACTAGACGCGAACAGGGGGAAAGCCTCAGAAGCTCCAGTTTTGGTTCCAATATTCCCAATCTAGCCTACCTTGTCTGAACAAACCTGTGAACTGAGCACCAAGGACATTGTTTTTGTAAAGACACATTTCTTTTAAATGTTCTTTTTCAAACAAGTTTGGAGTCCAATTTCATGTCCATATTTGCTGCAGTTTTACAAATTTTTTGTTTCTTCTATTTCTCTCCAGGTACTAGAAGAAAGGATGAAGCTAGAGTGCAAGTGCCACGGCGTCTCGGGCTCCTGCACCACCAAAACGTGTTGGACTACCCTTCCCAAGTTCCGAGAGATTGGCTACCTACTCAAGGACAAGTACAACGAAGCCGTGCACGTGGAGGTGGTCCGGGCTAGCCGACTGCGCCAGCCCACTCACCTCAAGGTGAAGCAGACTCAGGGCTACCGCAAGCCCATGGAGACAGACCTCGTCTACATCGAGAGGTCGCCCAACTACTGCGAGGAGGACACAGCCACGGGGAGCGTGGGCACCCAGGGGCGCCTGTGCAACCGCACCTCGCCACATACAGACGGCTGCGACCTCATGTGCTGTGGGCGGGGCTACAATACACACCAGTACACCAAAGTGTGGCAGTGCAACTGTAAGTTCCAATGGTGCTGCTTTGTCAAGTGCAACACGTGCAGTGAGAGGACGGAGGTGTTTACCTGCAAATAAGGACGCAAGGAACTCAGTGCCAGGAAGCGAGGCGCCAAGGACAAGCTGAATGAGGAAGACTCGAACGAGCGAGATAAAAGTGTGACGTGGACCAGTGAGAGATTTTGAAATAAAGGAATGGAATTTACACTACCAGCTCTTCATGGCATCGTTTTGCACAGCAGAAACTATCTTATTTCTTTTCAGAAAGTAAATGCTAAATATCCGTAGGTAATACCCCAGAACTTTACTGTTGCATAGAGATTGTGCTCATGTACTGATGTATCCACAGTGAAGTTGGGACTACAGGTAATGAATGAGGCCGGTGTGAACTCTGGGATTTGTAATTGTTAAATTCATAGGAGACTCAGAGAGGAAACACAGTAACCTGGGAGTTGATCAAAATGACAGCAGCTGATGCGGGGTGACTGGAACAGATTCGTCAAGTCCTTGATTGAAAACTTTTTAAGGGTTTTGTCTTATTTTCAAAAAAAGTGAATCTTGACACGAATGAACCCCCCAAATTGGCTGGGGCTTATGTTGGAGGTTTTGTAGACATGAAGAACATTTTGTAAGTATGGTGCGTTGGGGTGCGCCAAAATCTGAGTGGAGAACTCTGTTAAACCCTCTGCTGCCAACTGGAATATGGTGGAGTATGTTAGTTTTCCAGTCACACTGGAACTGTCTGTTCTGAACACTGAAAATAAATTGTTTATTTATGTTATAGTATCTTAAAACGAAGCACTAACGGGTAGAGATGTCTTTTTTTGTACTAAGTTTAAAGAAAAATACTTTTTAGAAACTCTGACTGAAAATGTGTGTCTATTAGAAAATGACCCCCCAATCCCTAAAACACTTTATATTTTCTTTAAAAAAAAGAAAGAAAAAAGGTTTCATTGCTACTGGTGTGTTGTCAACAAAAACGTCATTACAGTGTGTTTCACATTCAAAAACCTTGGTTCTTTTTTACTGTAGCAAACTTTGTTTGTAGTCCTTTCCCCCCCAAGCAGTAATATATATTTGGATGCTTTTGCAATTTCAGTTGATAGACAGTAGCAAGAAAACTCCTTTAACTGCAGAGATCCTTCCTCAATCTATTAAACACAAAGCTGACATGTTGCTGGATGTGTTGTTGAGTGCTGCACTGATATTTTCTACTCAGATACGACTCATGAGAACTAAATAAACTCCCATTTGACTCAGTTTGGCAGTTTATTGATAAAATATTGGTTGGAGTTGAACCAGTCTACCTTTAACTTAAAGGGATATACGGAAAGTGTATTTCAAAGTGTGATTAGTTGAATGATAATTAATTACAACAACCCACCCATGCATATTATAGCAGAGATATCAAAACCCAAAGATGTTGAACCTGCTTTGCTGCCGGAAGATCATTTATAGTTAAAAGTATCCACTTTTTCTCTTAACACAATGCTTGGTCTGATGGTTGTCACTCATATTTGTTCTGCTTAAAGGATAATTCCACTTTGTTACAATTTGTTTTCAAAGTTTTGGAGACTATATCCATCAGTTAGCCCATACTCACCAAATGCTTCTATATCTGGGAATATGGTGATACAACGATGTAGGTTTCAACTCTACAGCAAGTACAGTGGGTCAAAGCTTAAGCAGTCAACTGTTGCCTTTGCTCTCTCTTTGAAATGACTTTGGAAAACCTCCTTTTTCAGGGATGTCTCTTCCTTCCCTGATCATTGCTATTAACTTTGGAGTGCAATGTTATCTTAATGGATTGGAATGAGGGCCAAACCAATAAATTAAAAAAATAGCCAGCTGCTCCAATTATTTCCTGATAGTTAACAGTACCTGTGTGGGGTGTCTCCGCTGGTTTCTGGTGATAACAAGGCGCTCCTTGATGTTGCATTCTGAGGCATGTTAACAGCATATAACTCCCTGTAAAACCACAAATCATTATTCAGTTGAATTTGGGGAATTGTCAAGCTACAGTAGCGCTTTCACAATGCTAAGCTAAGCTAATTGTCTTGTGACTAGCTCCAAACTTGACACACAGACATGAGTGGTATCAATCTTTTAAACTAACTCTCAACAAGAAGGTAAATAATGGATTCACAATATTTCACATGATTCCTTTAATAAATGCAGTATAAACAATGCTAAATATACCATAGTCTTTAGACTGTGTATGTTTAGTGGTTTATAATTACTTTTTGTTTCGTTGACAAATTAATGTTTTTCTATTCAACTTTAATCTATATTACCATATTTGTCAAGGTCATGTGAGGTTGATGGACTAAACAGGCCAGTTTATCTCTTGGTTATTATTTTTGATTAATGGGTTTAGATATGTTTTATAACCTTTGCACATTAATAATTACCAGACATTTTAGAGGTTTAGCGACAGACGCTAGTCTTGCATTTTGCATGATTAGCATTTTGTATGTTCATCGGTCTTTAACTTATTTTATTTCAGTATGGTCGTTACTCAAATGGCTCAAACACAATTGTCATATATATAGATTTACATATTTACTCAGTAACTTATTAATATAACATATCTAACATATACTGTTGCCTTGTTCTGATATATTGCCTGCAAAAAGAAAGCTGATGTGTCTTTAATGTATTGATAATCTGTACTCTGACACATACAAGAAAGTGTACCGCTGAACGCTTAGTAAGGAATCCACATTTTTCATTTTATTGTTCAGCGCATGTTGGTACAAGAATGTTTCCGCTCAGTGTTCGCTTGCCCATATTGACTGTTCTAACAACCATCCAAAGCTATTATTTTCATAAATTATCCTTCCATAAAGACAGAAAAACATATTAAATCTGGTCATTGTGTGTGTCAAGGTTTGAATTCAATTTTGATGTAGAAGTCTGTTATTTAACCATTCCAACCAGGCTCAATTTAGTCACTGGCAAATGCATTAGGGAAGCATAAATCGTTAAAATTCAAAAAATAAATAAATCAAGCAGTTTGCTGACTTGCTGACGTTGTTTTGTACACAGCACATTTTCATAATGCGCTGTGGTCTTCCGTCTTGATTGTGGCACGCACGGAACAGAAGTCAATTATCTCTCCCATGGAAAGGAGCGTCTTCTCCATTTCTGTGTCAAGCAGAAACGTGATCAGAAACACAAAAGGAGGAAAAAAGCAAGAAGGATCATGGAAAACTGTTATTTTCCAAAGTGAATGTGAAAAACCAATATCCCCCACAAAATAGATCCAAAGTAATCCTGCAGAATTTGATTATTTATCATGTTGTTTTCTCCGGGGTAGTTGGAGTGGTTTGACTTGTGTGGTCTCACCCACCTGTGACACCCGGAGTAACCCACTTTATGTTTATTTTCTGTTGTTGGAATAGCAGATAATATAATTCTTAAAGCATGATGCTATATTCAGAATACTCAGGAAAACTGAATGAGGACGCTGCATGATCGGGATAATGGAGGCTCAACACTGGAGTCTCTCCTCATGCTTTCTGTGTTGGCAGAGCCGTTCGGAGTCACCAAAGGACGAGGGCCTTCATGCAAATGACCTGATGTGAAAAGGAAGTGGCTCAGTGTGCCTCTTGTTTTTAGACACACAAACTAGAGTGTAGTTCTTTTGTGAGGGTGTTTTTGAGATGGATGGGATGGCTTGATGAAACAAGGAGGTGCATGTGTAGCCGGAAGCTGCAAGTGAAAGGAGTGGTTATTTAGGAGAGGAGCTAATTGAGAGTGGTTTCCAGAAAGAGTGGGTACACTATATAAGTAGGAGCAGCTGTCCAACCAACTATGGGACTACGTGCAGAGCATGGTAATATACATTGTATAACAGATTCAGCCTATGAAAACCATTTTCTCTATCCTGATTAGTGGTGTACTTTTTCACGCAGGGAGGGAGAACTAAAAATAAAAGAGAATATACCTATTTTGGACCTGATTACTGTCAGTGGTTCCATCCGGCTCTTTCTATGTATACGTCTGTGAAAGAAGAGCCATGCTTTTTCATTCATTTGCTGGACGCTCCCACTCGTCCTCCTGTATGTGAAAAGCATTGTAGGCGGGCAGCAGAGCAGAAGTAAGATGTGTTTTGTTAGTTGTCTGAAGCCCTGAGGACCGGAACCTCATAAGCTCCCCATACTATGCCCTGGATTGAGTAAAATAAATCTATTTGTTTCTGACAAACATTTTGTCATTAAAAATATGACATATAAAAACAGAGTCTACTATGTGTGCTTTTTTCTAAAGCAGCTATTGTTTGAGTTTCAGGATCATTAGTTCATTGGGATTTATTCTGCAGGCTAATGCCTGCTGGTGGTGAAAACACACCATCTTTTCCATTTCAGGGCCCAGTTTGGAGGAAAGACAGTCGCAAGATTACTGACATCACTGAAAAGGAAGTGGCTGCCATTATTAACTTTATGCAAATGTGATTGAAAAGAACAGGAAAGACAGAAAACTGAACTAAACTAAAATGATTTGAGCCAATAAAGTAGCGCAAAACAGGTCGATCCCGCAGAGTGATTTCCTCATTTGGCTGACAAAACATTTGACTATCTGCTATAAAGAGAATTTATATTGGCTGTCTGGGTAATTAAATGGATCTCAGCCAAAGTCATATAAAGCAACTTTTAGTTTAGATGTTTTATTGTTGAGAGTTTCATTGCTTTATGCCAAGTAATTTTTTTTTAATTTTCTTCCCTGTTTTGTGAAGTGACAGAAGCCCTCCCAAATTCCTTTGAATTAGCTCCAACATTCTGCCTCCTCTCGTAATTTGTAACTTTGGCAAAGTGAGACAGGACATTCAGATCAGAAGCTTGGCCTCTCGGAGATAAGACACATCTGCGAGAGTGGGGGAAGAGAAGTCAGGGTGGCAAAAAAATAAATTGCCCAAATGAAGGGATTAAATAAAAAATGGAGGAGTCAGAGGTCTTCAGAGCTGGGGCTTGAGATTAGCCAGATACCAAGTGAGAAGAAAAGGATTGTTGTCTTCCAGACGCCGCACTTCAATTATAGACTTCTCCTCAGTTGAGAAACGGGATGTTTAACAGTCCCAGGGATGATGGATTATTCTAGGGCAATCCTTTAAATCTGGTTTGTTATTCCAGGATGTGAAGGCTTTGGTTAAGGTGATACAACATGGCAAAACATGGAAGTACTACTGTGCTGAAAACATCTCTTAGCCGTTAGCTCATTTAGAAAGTTAAACTGCATTGTGTGCTCTTCTTCTTTGTTGAAAACTTAAACGCTGCCCACAACCGAGCCTGCAGACAATTAAGAACGTACAGTCTTTTTTTTTTTTCATGTGATCTCTTGGTGTTTTTCTGTGTTCCTTTAACTTTGTTTTGACTGCTTGTCTTAGTGAAAGACCATCATTTGGAGGTTTCTCATCATCTGTTTGATATTAGTGGTGAGGAACACATGGCCATTCAAAGGCAGAGCCGTGTGTGACATCATAAACCACAAGGCAAAGTGGGGATCGTCAAGACCCCAGACTGTGAGGACTCTGAACGCTACCTGACTGCCTCCATCTATGTGTAACTATATTGTCCAAATAATGTGCGCCTGGGTTTCTGCAGAACACTGAGTTAACTCTTTTGCACAGACAGTAGAGAATTAATTTAGTTTTCTTTTTCAGAATTAGTTGCAGAGTAATATAAACTAAACTGAAATCAACTGTGAAACTCAATAGCAAAGACTGTGCATGGTGATTATTTAAAAAAGAGGGAAGATGCAACAGAGTTTTGCTTAACAAAACAACTGCATAAAGACAAGAGCAGCTTCTCTCTTGCATATTACTCTGTCTGACAAAAATGTCTGTCACATACATTGTAAATAACCACATTTTTTCAAGTGTAAGTTATATATAAGCAGACAAGACATTAGCCTGGGGAGTAATGACGCCCAATTTGGCGTGCACACCTGTTTATGTTGGACTGGGGCAGTAAGCGGTGCTTGTAAAATATGAGCGAGGTTAATACTTATGCGGTGACGCCCTCAGGCCTCACAGCTACAGTAAGGACAGCATCAGCAGTCTGAGGCGATGGGATGGGTCTAACCCCAGGCACTGCTGTATTTGTGTCTGTGTTCACGTGTGTGTAAAGCTCACACTGTGGATTTTAAGAGCACTAAGCATTTATTTATCTGCTTGCCTCACCTCATGTTTCTGTCCATATGCCACTACTATGTGTCTGCGTCTGCCTGTGTGGGACATCCCTATGGGAAGTGGGTTTTTT